CGGGCAGGGAGCAAATCGGGCGCCAAGTCCTTCCGGACGGGCAGACTCCTTTGGTTTGGGAATGAAAGACCCCTCTGAGAGCCAGGGGTCCCCTTCCCCACTCGGACCCCAGCCACCGGCGGAGGCGCACTGGGGCGGCCCGCAGAGGAAAGGCGAGGTGAAAGAAGTCGGGGTACCCCCGGCGCCCTGAGAACCAGGCTTCCCCGAGGCCTCGGGACCCGGCTTTGGAGCCCCCTGACCCTCGCGCGAAGTCTGGGGCGTGAGTGGGAACTTTGCGGAACCCTCGCGCCGGCCCGCAGTAAGGATGGACCTCAGCGAGGCTGAGTCATCCTGGACCAGCTGGCGCTCCAGACCTCGCGGGGTCCCCCGGCGGCCTGGGCATCAGGGCCCGCATTCTTCTGCCCCCGCCTGCCACCTCAGCACCCTCAGCTTTCAGGGAAGGAAGGGGGGGCTGTGGCGTCCGCCCGGTGGTGTCGTCGAGGATCCTGCCCAGCAGTCCCTGGAAAAAGTTCCCCCAGCAGATGCTGGGCTTGATCTCAGAGGTGGCAGCGCGGGGACATGGGCCACTGAGAAGCGCCCCCCCCCCCAGGTTCCCGTGGGCCTTCCAGCTCCCACCTCGGGGCGCAGCGCGGGGAACAGGCCCCACCCAGGAAGCGCCAGGTGCGCCCTGCCCACGGGCAGTGTCTACAATCTCCACGGATGACTAACCGGCTATAATGAATTCTCCGCTTCTGTGCACACCTCCCATCTCGGGAAGCCTGCTAGCAGTTCCAAATGACGCCAAGTGCGCCTGACCCCAGGGCAAGCGGTCGGGATGGCTTTGCTGCTTAAACGGGGGCTTGGAGAAAAGTAATTTTCCTGTCAGAACCCAGAAGTCTTCCCCCCCCCCGCCCAAATGAGTAAATGAGTGAGTGTGTGAAAGTATACTATCCCTTGTTAATAAGATTCCAATCCGTTACCTATATGGTATCTACATAACACTCCTCATGCAATCCCTGATTTATCCAGTGATAGGATGGTAGGATGTGCTCAGAGACCTGCCTTCACAGAGTTAATACACTAGAGACAGAGACAGGCTTGGCTCCAAAAGCCACCGTGATAAATGCATAATCATAAACTTGGACAAGGGGTCAAACATTGCATCTGACAAAATAGTACCTGTAGCAGTCATCCTATCGTCATCCCTATTCACTGATGGGAAAATTGAGGCACAACAAAATAATACAGCTTAGTCATATTTGAACAACTGCTGGATTGCTAGACTATATTGAGAGCCACCTGGGCACCAAGATCATGAGAACAGTTTATGGTGAAGTCATTATGGTCCACCAGCCTGACCCAGGCATTAAACTTCACAGGCAACTACAGAGTAACCAGGAGAGGAGCCCTAACACAGGGCATCACGGTCACAGGAGAATGGCATCTTGAGCCTTTGAAACTTACACACAGACTATCTTCAACAGAGCATTATGCACCATACATTAAGGACGGATCCCACTAAGCATGTCCTCCTCCTCTCTCAAGAATAAAAATATTTAAACTTTCTGCTAATTAAATTCAGAACTCAAAGTGTCACAAAAATTGGGGGTTTTGCCGCCACATCAGGACAAGTGACCAGGAGCACCTCTCAATATGCCAACTGCAACACTAGGCACTGGGTCCTACTTGCTACTTTCACCAAAGCAAACAAACAAACAAAAATCCTATATTTCAATACCCAACTCTCAGTTGAAGCATTGAATCCAGCTAATGAACCTGCAGACGCTGTCCCAGCTGAGGATGCTGCATTTATCCTGCAACAATGAGTGGCTACCAGAGGGGTCTGAACAGAGTGAAACATGATGAAACAGAGGTGAATTTTTCAGAAACCTTCACCGAATCCTGGTCTATGGAATGGATTCCAGAGGAGACCCCACAGCAGCGGTCCTCAGGGCAGGAGAAGGCAGTGAACAGTTGGGACTTTTCACTTCCTCACAATGGCTGGGAGTCCTGCTGGCCTGCAGTGGAGGAGGGTAGGGCAGTGCCACACAAGGAAGAATTGTTCTGTGTCCCATGAGACTTTCAAATGTCCCACTGGGCATTGGGGTAGGAGAAAAGCCTGCCTGTAATCACCTGAATTGAGAACTCAAGCCCATTTTATATATAAACACAAAAGAGTGTTTGCATGGCTTTAATAAGCACTGAGTTTTCCAGGAATGCAACTAATGTGTAAATAATGGGGAGATTGTCTTCTGTTTTGTTCAGAACCTTACCAAGGGGGTTGTTTGTTTGTTTTACCATTTTGGAAATCACTTCTCCAATGGCAACTGTGCTCACAGGCCCTGACTCACTAGCACATCAGTGTCAGTCTTCACTTGGGGTGTGGCACCCAGTTAGTCCACATATAGGCACAAGCATCTAATGACTTCTTACATCTTGCAGTGCAGTCTTGCACGAGCATTTCACATAGTGAAGTACCTCTTATTTTATTATAAATTGCTTTTATTTTATTTTATTTTACCAGATAAAGCATCATATTGATTTTTTCTTTAATTCTGTCTTTGAGTAGGTTATGCTGTCTTAGAATTTCATATCTGGATGGTAAAGGGGGACTTGGGTCTAACTGAGTAAGATCTACTACTCTGGATTACAAAGACACCAGCTACAAGGCTGTGATGTTGCTGGTAGGGATACAAAATGGTTCACTCCAAAGAAGCAAAATGACAAATGCTTTAACCTTTGACCCAGCAATCCTGCCTCTGGGACTGTATCTTACAGTTACTAAATGGCATACAGATAGAGTCATACATTATCACATTATCTCTAAGAGCAGAAGATTGGGAACCACTCGTGGTTATCAGTACAGAATTGGTGCAAGAAACTGGTGTATCCTCACAATGGAGTATTAGGCAGCAATTTTAAAAGTGAGGATACTTTCTACCTATGGATATGAAAGATCTTTAGCTTTATTAAATTTTTTAAGTGAGGTACAAAACAGTGTATACTTCATGCTGCTTTTGTGTAAGAAAGGGGGAAATGATACATATTTGTATTTGTTGAAAAACAATGAAAGGTACCAAGAAACTACTAATAGTTATTACCTGCTGAGGGATTAGGAAGAACAAAGTAGAGGGGATGAGTTTGAGAGTGACATTTCTCAATGTTTATTTGTCACTTTCTAGCATTTGGATTTTTGAGCCATGTGAATGAGGTACTAGTACTTATTCAAAGCAACAGAATACAAATGTTCATAGCTCTGTAACAATTCAGATTCTGGGGCCTGGGCTGGAGTGGAGAGAGGGTTCGATCATTGGGAAGAAATGTGAGAAACACTTGAAGTCCTTGATCCCTACAGGGGTGGTTCTCAAACCCCCAGAGGTTCTGATTCAGTCATTCAAATTGGGGCAAGAAGGGGAGTGGGGATCTGTATCACCACTTTTGCAAGCACAAGGCTTCTCTCACTCAAGGTATAGTATAGAGCTTGGGGTCAAACAAACCTAAGTCCAGGTCATGGGTCACCCTCACATTAGCTGGGGAAGTTACCCAACCTCTCTGAGCCACCCTTTCTCAATTGCCAAAGATGGTAACCACAGAGCCATTTCCACGAAGACATGAGGAGAATGAAATGGGCTAGTGCAGCTAAATATTCAACAAATGTTGGTTACTACTTTCATTCTGCAAGCGTTGCTTTGGCTCTCACTTTGCCTCGGAGTGCCAAAGCCATGGAGCCCTTGGCTGAAGCCCAGTTTCCTTTCCTGCTTGACCATCAACTAACTCTCTCTCTCTCTCTATCTCTATCTCTATCTCTATCTCAAACAGAACCCATCTCTCTGTGCCTATCGCACTGCCTGGCCCAGACTTCCATCATATCCTCTGTAGGATCCTTTGACTGATTCCTAAT